AGATTTGTTTAAGAACAATTTAACCTTTTAAAGGAAACATATGCAAGTAGCATTTTTCCCCCTCCTTCTTTTCAGCTGATATTGGCAGAGTTGATTTCCTTTTTGTGTTGTGAAGCCACTTGCTCTGATGTCAGAGATGCCCTTGGGGACGTGTGGCCTGATATACCCACTTTTACTAGTTTGCCTTGGGAAAATGTCCTTGAACCTAACTCGCGATGCTTCTCCTAGGATGTTTATTTGAAAGTCTGCAATGGAATAAAACAAAATGCCCTTGGCAGTGGCGTTTCTGTTGGTAAACGCGTGCCAAATTTGTATGCTTTAAGTGCCGGGAGTGGCTCGAATCCATAGATTACGAGCTCTTCTGCTTACATAAGCCTCCGACGTAATTAGGCTGGTCGAGGCTACAGAAGAAAAAAACATCAATTCACAGTCCGGATAGACTACATTATTACATAAACACACACGTGGAACAGCCGCGGTCTAAACGCTCGCATTTTTTTAGACTCGCAGTCTGGCTGGATAACGCAAGCCAGATGGCCCGAGTGGTGAGCAAACTGCCCTCGGAGGGCAGTGTTTAAGTGGCCAACTCCATTTGATTCCAGGCCACGGTTGACTGCACCAGTAGCGACTGATATCTGACCCGCAGCCCGCCCTACTGCCGTCCCTGCGAGCCCACACTGACCAACCAGCCGATGCGAAGTTGCGGGCAGACTTTGATCCTGCGGTAGATTGACAAAGGAATTGTGAGTGTATTGTTATTTCTAGATTTGAAGTTTTCGTGACTGCAAGGGTCCATACTCTTTGGTTTTTTCGATAAAGTCACGTAGGTAAAAAATTTAATAAAAATAAATTAAATCACAACGTTTCGGAGGCAAAACAAGCTTCCGTCTTCAGGTGGCACCGCCACAGTAATTTTGTAATAATGTAGTTGCCTCCGAAACGTCGTGATTTAATTTATTTTATTTTAATTTTTTACTTACGTGACTTAACCGAAAAAACAAAAAGTATGTATTGTTATTATTTGTAATCCAAATGCCAAGTCAGCTACCACGGACTGTACAATTCCCATTGCTGCTTAATTTTAATGCATGGTCATCGGCAACGGGAACGTTTCTATTGTTACGTGAATAACTATGTGACGCACTTTGGAGGAATATTCCAATCTCAAATATTTCAAAGACCCTATACAAAGAAAACTTGAAACACCAGAAATCATTTTTTTATATATATAAGAATGTTAAACATTGCACGGACAGACACAATATGCGTAACACGAATGTATGACGGATAACAGGTACAAAAAGAAAATCAACAATTATTATTAGGGAGATGCAAGTGGCAAATGCGCCCTCTAGAGGATCCTAGCTTCATTGCTACAATTGTACAAATCCCTGCAAGTGATTAAAGAAACACGATCCAGACCGTTGACCACGTGGCAGTGGACCGCCGTGGCCTCTCAATACATCTGTAGGTATCTATATGAGTCTAAGAGTTCTCTCCTGTGTAACAAGATCGAGGCCATGGTCCTCAAGATACAGCTTCGTTGGGTAGGGCACATCGCCAGGATGGAGAACCACCGCTTACCTAAGATTGTGCTGTATGGGGAACTGTCCTCTGGCCATCGCGACATAGGGGCACCACGAAAGCGATACAAAGACTTCCTGAAGAAGTCCCTCACTGCTTGCTGCATCGATCACCGTCAGTAGGCAACACAAGCAGCTGATCGCAACTCCTGGCGGCACACAGTCCACCAGGCCACCTCCTTCTTCGAAGATACCCGCAGGGCCCGTATGGAGGACAAAAGGAGGAGGAAGAACCGTGATCTCTCAGCACCCATCCCAGATGAGACCTATACTTGCAGTCGTTGTGGCAGGACCTGCTTGTCCCGCATAGGCCTTGTCAGCCACCAGCGTGCTTGCAGAAGACGTGGATGTCCTTTCTAGATCTTCGTTCGCGAAGCCAAGCCATGATGATGATGATGGAGTCTATGAATACTCTTAGGTTTTTAGGTAAAGTCACGTAGGTAAAAAATTAATAATAATTAATATAATTGAAAAAATAATAGAAATAAAATAATAAATCACGACGTTTCGGAGGAAACACAAGTCTCCGCAATCAGGTGGGACCGTCACAGCTAAATTTACTGTCAGTAAAACGAAACGTCGTGATTTATTATTTTATTTCTATTATTTTTTCAATTATATTACTTATTTTTTACCTACGTGACTTTACCGAAAAACCTAAGAGTATGAATCCTTGCAGTCACGAAAGCTTCAAATCTAGAGTCTATGAATCTCTGTCTGAGTCTGTGAGTCTGTATGTGAGACGACATAGTAGTGATCCACTGGGAACTTTATGTGAATCTAATGGTGTCTGTGTAAGTCTCATGAGTCTCTCGGTCCGCGTCGTAGTAAAACCACTGCACTCTGTGTGAGTTTACGGGTCTCTAAGTGAAAGTCCATGATCGCTGTGGTGCTGTGGCCGCGGGCCGTTTCAAATGAAGTCACGGTACTGTGTGTTCTCCCATCGTCGATGTCAGCCTTGTATTCGGAAGCACACGACTTCTCTCTCTCTTTCTCTCTTTCCGCCGCCTCTTCATGTCCCTTTAAAGTGCAATTTGTGCGCGTTATAAGTTTCATAATGGATCGCTAGGCACTTTGTTCAGCATGATGTGACCACCTTTTGACTACATTAGCAGTGACAAACACCAAACACACACACTGCATATACAATGATGCTCGCCTTATCTAGACCCACAGCTCAAAAGAGCTGCATGATCGGCCACATTATTGCTTTGTAATTGTTTAAACCACCAACAATGCAGTGTGGAGGTCACGTGACATGCAGAATCAGAACCGGAACATGTATTTATACTGGAGGAATCCGATGAGCTATGAAGCTCTTTTTCACGATGGCAATCGTGCGTCCCCTGCTGTTTGTGAGCAGCACACTCCCGCGTGCCGTTGATTCTCCTGAACTGGTGGTCTCGACAAGGCTGAGAACTCGATACTGTACACGCAGTGCAGTGGTCACGCAACACGCACGCAAGGCATATTTTTTTTACTATTTTGATTTTACCAGGTAAGGCCCGCTGACCTATATATCTATTTTTAAGAAGTGACTTGGCCACACATTTATTTACAGCTCAGCGAAGTGGCTTATCACGTGGGAAATTCTAGCAGCCAAACACTCTCAACGCACGTTTCTATAAATCGGAGGGAACAAAAACCGGAGGGCCCGGAGAAAAATCAACGCGACCACTGGGGAGAGAGACACCCAAACTCCAAATATACAGCAGGCGTCAGGGTCGGGATCGAACCCACGTCCTCCTGTATACCGGGCGATTTAATTAACATCTCGGGGGAGTTCTGCTTTGTTTATGAGCAGCAGCGCAACTCTTTGCGTGCTGTTACATCTACTATTTGTTTCCAGCCTGCATACATTTTCCCAACGGGTTCCCCCTCTCTATTTACAGAGGGCGTTGGATTTGAAATGCCACATCAGTCTTGCAATTGCTTTGGGAATGATTCGCACAAACTATAACCTGAACCGCGTTTCGCTCCCCAAACAATCTACGCTTTGTGGCCGTACATAAAGGTTTTGTGCCCGAATTGAAAACAGAGACGACATTTAAAAAAAAAAAAACCCAGCGAGAGTTCATAATGAATGTTTGCCGAGACCGCAGAACGTTTAATGGTGAACTTTTAGTTGTAAAGCCACTCGTTTATTTCGCTCAGGTAAGAGGCGGAGCCGTCAATGGTATATACTGTCTCAAACTCTACACTGTAAGACACACATCTGTGAAAAAGAGCTTTATAACTCATCGGATTCCTCCATAAATACACATTCTTATTCTGGGTTAAGGCAGTGCAATTTAAAGCAAGTGAATTAAACTGAAAGGTTTGAACCACAGTGAACGGAATGAAGTTGAACGAAGCCAAAAGGTAAGAGTGAAAGAGACAACAGAGTCTGTGTTGTACAACCATCGGCTTTTATCAGCCTTCTGGGGCCATTTCTTTCCCCAGCAGGGTTTTGCTGATGCGATAAAACCTGCGGTTTCAATTTTCAGTCTCATCAGCCATGCAAGTCAGTGTGTGTGTGTGTCCTGTTCAAACACATTTTGCAGGGTCGCCTTGATGTCTCAGGTTAAGAGTTCTCTCCTGTGTAACGAGAGCTTCGTAGTTCATCGGATTCCTACAGTCTAAAGATTATCATCTTTATCATTTTATGAATGTGTATATGTAGACAGGCCTTGCTCGTCAGAGGTGCGCTGGGTGGTGGAGGAAAATAAACTAAACGCAAAAAGGCAGTTTGAAAGAAATGAGCTTTCAATCTAGATGATGATGATGATGATTTTAAAGTGCGTAGCTCCAAGTGGATTCCTAACATCGGGAAGGTGAAGAGCGTTCCAGACGGCCGCAGAAGCGCATCTGAAAGCGCCGGTGGCCGCCGTCTTTGTTCGACGTGCCCATCAAATATTGTGGGCACCAGACCCACGTTTATTCGACTACTTAAGTCCCATTGCTTGGCTACGTACGGCGCGAACGAAGTTAGACGTACATTTGTACATTTCAAAACCGGTTTGTTGACGGTGGCCTTAAATTGCGCAGACCTTGGTTTGGGTGTGCTGTGCTTTTTGCAAAGGGCAATATTTTTTTATTTTTTTATATTATTTTTTGATGTACATCGCTGTGAGATGCAGTTTCGCATGAACGACGCTATATGTATACATATATTAGGGGTGGGTGCGGTGTATGTGCATAAATACGAATCAAAGTAGATGTTTTTCTCATTAATTAATACACTTTCAGGAGGTTCCTGCAATGTTCGGTGTATTACATTTTTTTGTCGCAAAGCAAATTCCATAAAAAAAATTTCACGAGACCATTTGCGATGGCGTGGAGGGTAGGGGAGGGTAGGGGAGGGTGGGTGAGGGCCTCTTGGTGCTGACGTCACTGTGGAGCCGCTCACGGAAGCGGCGCGCGGCCCCTTTAACAAGCGCGCTCGATGTCACGACGCCGTGCGCGCCGCGTGCGCGGATCGGCTCGTTCGCTCTCAACCCCACGTCACCTACCACGGAGAACCACCACCACCACCAGCAGCACCACCACCAGCAGCACCACCACCACCACCAGCAGCACCACCACCACCACCAGCAGCAGCACCACCAGCAGCACCACCACCACCAGCAGCAGCAGCACCAGCAGCAGCGGCAGTGGCGGCTGCTGGCAGGAACGGACCACTTCGACACAACGGCGTCTGGTGATTGTTGTGAGGTTCGTGTCGGAGCCACAGTCCCGCACGTAGCAGTAGCAGCAGCAGCGTCAGCAGCGTCCTGCGCGAACGTACGGGCCGCTTGTTGTGAGACACCACTGCACGTGTGTCCGTGCGCGTTCACGCGTTCGTGTCTATCGGTATGTGCCTTTGTTAGACAGAGCCTTTTCGAAAATTCACTGCTGGATGAAGGATAATCTACCGCCCCCACGCTGTGTGTCGGTCATGGGTGGGTGGTGAGGATGGGGTGGGTGGGGGGTGAGGATGGGGTGGGTGGGGGGTGTTTGACCATACTTCACCACGCTGGTCAGCGCAGGTTTGGTGACGGGGGGGGGGGGGTCAATCACCGTGTTCAGATTTCGTTCGCCACTGATGTTAGCCGTGGCTGCGAATCGAAACTCAGCTCGCCGGGTTCGGAGCGCAAGTATGGTTACTGCTGCGTGTGTGTTTGTGTACATCAGAGCACACGTGTCTGTGTGTGTGTGTCTGTCTGTGTCTGTCTGTCTGTGTCTGTCTGTCTGTGTCTGTCTGTGTGTGTGAGGAGCGGTGGTGTAGCGGTTAGCGCTTCGCTGCGCTACGAACCTGGCGACCCGGGTTCGATTCCCACTCACAACCAAAATCAGTGACGATTCTCTGAACCGGTCCTAGGCCTCCCCTAGGTCGACTCAGCCTCCAATGCGTACCTGGTGCTGTGTGTAAACATCGCCACTGGGGAGACAAAGGCGGCCGGCCGTGGTGCTGGCCACCCAACCGGCTCGTGTGCCGTTCTGGCCTTAATAGGTGCTCGCAAACAGCGCTTGCCCCAACAATCTGTTACAGGCTACACGTGGGGAGATCTTTGTCTTTTTGTGAGAGAGAGAGAGATTTATGTATTTGCTTCTCTCGCCTCCAGCTTCTGTGATGATTCTTCTCCTACGTTTGGTGGAAGAGGCTCACGGTGGCCTTGTCAGTGCGTCGAGCCGGCAACGCTGACGATCGGCGCTTCGCGTTTTCGTCTTTTGAGTCCTGGTTTGCGCCCGCTGATTTTTAGTCGAGGTTGCTGTTTGTGGCGATTCGATTGTGTCGACCGATAGATACACCGTGTTTGACAGCAAATAATAATAATGATGATGATTCTAGATTTGAAGTTTTCGTGACTGCAAGGATCCATACTCTTAGTTTTTTTCGGTAAGTCACGTAGGTAAAAAAATATAAAATAAATTAAAATAATGATGATGCCCTCTTATTTATCACGGAAAGCCTCGCCTGGGTCTCGAATGGGACACCACGCTTGTCAGGAGGATGCTGCATTGGTTTGTTTGGTCAGTTCCATTCATGAGAGTTTGGCAAGAGAGAACACATCCGGTGAGACCCGGATTGACGTGGAGGGGGGGGGGGAATAACGCTCAAAGCTCCGCACAGATGGATTCAATAATCCATCGCGACACTGACATCTCCTAGCCACCTCGCAGGTATCACGCGACAATCATTGTTCGATTATATATATGGGATTGTAGAGTAAATTGCCATCAACTGGCTTTAGGCGATCAATACATATTTAAAGGATGTTGAACTGATAAGTTGATTTACAGTAATAGGTTTAGTGCAGATCTCTGGTATGCACGTGTTGACGTGGGTATTGCAGAGGCGCGCTTTCGTTTATAACGTGGGCCGTGCGGGTTTTTGTCGACCAGTGGCGTGTGTCTGTTGTGTTTTGAAGAAGTCGACATGTGAGACGAGAGGAATAAATAAATACGGAAAGGAACGCGGGTACCCCGATGCTGACCACTTGCTGACCGCTGCTGACTTGCTGTCTGCTGCCGTTTAAAGCGAGACAAATCGAGTGAAAAATGTGCAGGCCGGGTGAGCGAAAGCAGCTGAGGAGGAGAGGTGAGGAGACGGAATCGATGACCGTAGACGGGGTGGACGCCGAGGAGAGGCAAAGGGTAGAGCGGAGGAAAGGTGGCAGCGGCAGAGACGAGGTCACAGAGTTCAAGTTCATGTATTAGGTATAGCCCTGTGAGCCATTCGGCTCTTGAATCGGGTGCAACCGCAACAAACAAAAAACAAAAACATGAACAAGAAAACATCTTAAAGTGAATATGTGACTAAGTGCAAACAGAAAATCCAAGAAAAGACAGCAAAATATTGCAGAAAAAATACCGTACACCAACGCTGTGTGCAAAAATCCCAGTGGGATGCAAGTCAAACAACAACAACCACAAGACAACTTAGATTAAGGCCATCAGTCTAACTCTGTACTACAACAAAGGGGGCGGGTGGGGGGGCACGGCTGGACAGGGAGGCAACTCGGGAAAGGAATCGGAACCAGAATTTAGACTGCTGGAGGAGCTATGAAGCCACTGTGAGCGAGTCACAGTGGCACACAGTACAACGACAAAAACGATAGGAGTGCAAAATAGAGAAAGGGGTAAACAAGTCACAAAAATGTAATAATCATTAAACTAAACTTTGTAAACTTTTTTTTTACCAGGCACAGGGGATCCCTGCAACTACGAACCTAATTGGCTCCTGTACGACGGTCGCAAGTCGAACCCCCGTTTCCCATAGGGCACAATGTTGCACATTGGGGTTACGTTCCTGGAAACCCATTGCATACCATAAAAATACCCAAATTGACCACGAAAATAAATGAAAATAAACCTAACAAACATTCATTGTAACGTAACTTTTACAAACATTCATTAAGTAAAAATGTGCATCACATTTTCTCTTTTCAAACATAGCAAAAGGTGATTTTTCTTTCTAAATTTTCTTAAAATTTAGAAAAAAAGTCAAGAGGGTTACAAAACAGATGGTGCGTGCGCTCTATACGCAGCTACAACCTGTCTGGTTAATCTGTACATACGCATCCATAATACAGGGTTTTTTGGGGGGGTTAGATTGCGTAAATATATAAATGTGTCATTAAACCCGCCACCACCCGACGCAGCCAATTAGTAAGGTTTGTCACGGAAACAGAACACGCCAATTCGTCACTAAAAAAAGAAGGATTTCTCCACAGATTAAAGTTGCGCATTTTGATGTGACGTCACATTTCTCAAACCCCCCCCCCCCTCGTCACACATCGTCACAAATGTCTGACCCCCCCCCCGCGCCCCATGTGCATGGCGTCATTTATGGACGGCCCCTATTCCCATGATTTCTTCTCGGGATATTTAAAAGGCAATTGGACTGACGCAAGGCAGGAAGGAAGGAGACAGCGAGTGAGGCCTCATCTCCAGCAGTGGGAGGTTGTTACAGGCTGCCAAAGACGACGACAGCAAACATTTGCTATGATCGGTTTTTTTTTCGAAACGGAAGATCGCAGACAACGTCGCGGGTGGCGTCTGTCCCGTCCCGTCCGTCCGTCCGTGCAGGAAAGCCAGGATGCACTTACCGCCCGCCCGGGACGTTTGTTTTCAATCCCGTCGGGTCAACCTTGTGGGGCCGGTTTCTCTGTAACTCGATATATGTCCCTGTTGACTCGAGCAACCCGTGGCACACGAGGTATGTGTGTGTGTGCAGTGACCCTATGAGGGTTTGGTGACAGCCACAAACGAGAGCTCACACTCTCTCTCTCAAGTTTAGGGTAGTGGTGGGTGAGGGGAGAGGGCTGGAGGCGTTTGACCCCCTAATTTGCCTTCACGATTTTTTGTGCATTTTTCTTCCTTTAACCTTGACTCCCCCTCCCCCCCAGTTACTTCCTCTACAGCACGGGGTATGTGTGCAAGGGTTCGATTCACGCCCTCGGCCAACATTGGTGACGATTGTCTGAACCGGTCCTGGGGCCTCCCCTAGGTCGACTCAGCCTCAAATGAGTACCTGGTGCGGTGTGTGAACACCGCCACTTAGGGAGACAAAGGCGGCCGGGCGTGGTGCCGGTCGCCCACCCCCTTAGTGGCCTGTGTTGGCCTTCACAGGTGCTGCTCACTAACAGCACTTGCCCCAAAAAATACCATAAGGCTATACGGGAGATCTTTGTCTGTGCATCGGTATGTCTGGCTATGCACATGCGGAGAGAAGTTGTGCTTCCGTGTTGCAATGGCAGTCTTGGTTTGTGAAGAAGAAAACATTTCATGAACGCGTTATCGTCACCCTCGTTAACAGCGATGGTCAATCCACTGCTGGATGAAGGCCTCCCCACGTTGCTACCGTCTGCCGTGATCTCCCGCGTACTTGGTTCGCTACATTTTTTTATTCAATGAAAATTAATGCAACGAAAGTAATTTGCTCGTGTTTTTTTTATGTATATAAAACATAACGTCATGTTTTAGCCGAGTAGTCGGGAAAAATGCTTTTAACTGCTTCGTCACTGAAATCGGATGTTGACGAAAATCAGCTTGGCTTCTTTTCACCCACTGATATTCTGATGGAAACATTTGCCCATTCATCGATCGCATTCATTCACAGCCCTTGGTAGATCCACTGCTGGATGACGGCCTCCGGACGCTGTAAGTTTTTCTCACCTGTACCGTCGCCACCACGCTGGTCAGTGTGGGTTTGGTGAAGGTAGGGGAGCCAGGTCCAGGACCCGGTTAGGATATCTCTCGCAACTGATTGTCACTGTCGCCGGGAATCTAACTCGAGGTTGTGGTTGGGTTCATCGCGCGGTCGTGTACCGACCACTCCGCGCTCACCCCACACGCTCCCCAAGGTTGTTTCTAAACGTCAAAGTGGCTTGCTGCTCAAATGAGGAGTTGACGCCAGTGGTGGAAATTCCACATATAATGTGTAAGTGGGGGGCAAAATCTCTCCGGAGAACAATCGCGGGTGACTTTCACACAAAGTGGTGCTCGTTTTATCGACCCTGGTAGGAATGATGGGCCGAGTCAACTCCCAACCGTGATGTGAGTGTTGCTTTCGAGTTGATGCAACTGCTTTGTTGAGCTTTCATTTGTGGCCCAGTCACTTCTGACAAAGAAACTAGTAGCTCAGTGGGCTTTACCTGGTAAAATAAATACATTTAAAAGTTACATTTATTTGGTGATTTGCTACACATTCCTCTACTTTGCACTTCTGTCCTGTTTGTTGTATTGTTTGTTGTTGTAACTTTCTGACCGGCCCCTAATGGACATCTGTGAAAAAGAGCTTTATTGCTCTTCGGATTCCTCCAGTGAAAATAAAGATTCTGATTCTGATATCGATATCGTTTTGCTGCCTCCGTTTAGAAAATGACACCGCCGACACGGCTGCAAAGAAGCTGACGATCCTGAGCCGCCGGAGGTGGCAGGGGGCGGCGGGGAGGGCGGTACGGCCGTGCAGAGACAGCATGCCGATGAAACTCGCTCCCTTCAAGCCGACGCTATGCTGCCTCCTGGCGCTGCTCGTCCATGCCAAGGGGGCCGCGTTGTCCCCCGTCGCCAAGGACTTCTGCGTCGTGGGCGCCGGGCCATCCGGCCTGCAGATGGGCTACTACCTCGAGCAGTCCCGGCGAGATTACGTCATCCTGGAGAGAAGTGGTGCCCCGGGTCCCTTCTTCGCCCTGTATCCGCGGCACCGCAAGCTCATCAGCATCAACAAGCGGCACACGGGCAAGCGCAACAAAGAGTTCAACCTTCGCCACGACTGGAACTCCCTGCTGAGCCACGACGAGACGATGCTCTTCCGCCACTATTCCCGAGACTTTTTCCCGCACGCCGACGACATGGTGCGATACCTGAGCGATTACGCCAAGCGGTTCCGCCTGAATGTGCGCTACAACACGAACGTGACCGAGATCAGGGCCACGGCAGACAGCAGCGCCTGGAACGGACACCGCTTTGTCCTCGGGGACCAGAGTGGCAACGAGTGGCGGTGCCAGTAAGTGGAGCGGTTCTTTCCCACCCACCCACCCACCCCCCGTGCATCCGAAGCTTTTGCGAGACACGGGCATTGTGCCACGGGCGGCCCTATCGCGACGTTCGGCCGCTGCCGGGCGAGGGCCCTCGCTACGCCGTGTGTGTCGTGGAGAGGCGGGGGGGGGGTTCTATGAATGTACAGTGTCACGCCGGTGGGCGTGGGTTGGGGAAAGCGGGGAGCATAAACTAAACTATTTAAACTATTTTTATTTTACCAGATAAAGCCCACTGGAGCTATGAGGATCTTTTTCAGAAGCTTCCTGGCCACAAAATGATAGCTCAATGAACCGGCTTCCCGCGTGGACATTTATCGCAGCCGAATACTCCGGACCACACGTCGATTCTAAATGTGGAGTGGAAAAACCGGAGGGCCCAGAGAAAAATCCACATGATCACAGGGGGGAGAGAAAACATGCAAACTCCAAATATAGCAGGCGTCCGGGTCGGGATTGAACCCACGATCTCCTGTATACCAGGCGAGGTAGTTAACATCTCACCACCATGGCACCCCGGACGTGGCAGCAGAGGGCCGTACGACGATGGGTTTTGTTGAACTGCCCTCTCCCAGCCACAGTGTAGCTCTGCAGCAGCCTCTAATACCTGCTTTATGCGTGAACTAATAGACCAGCGTGGCTAAATATGATCAAAGAACCCCAAGGCGGAGGAGGGCTTCATCCAGCAGTAGATGTGTGTGTGGCTGATGTTGATGTGCATCAGCCAGTCATCTCGGTCATCTCAGTCAGTCAACCCGTGGCACCTGGGTCTGCCCTGTGACCTCCTGCCAGCGGGCGTTCGACACTTCACGTGGCTTCAATGTGCACCTGGCCTGGCACAAACGTCGTGGTGACGTCACCGGCACTTAGTGGCGGTTGTTGTGGAGCAGCAACTATAATTTTACGTTGAGGTGGTTGAGCCAGATGATTGCGTCAGGAGTAGCCGAGCGGCAAATCGCCTAGCCTACGCCACCTTCATGTTTGTGAATGGAGCATTGAGTCGTTATGTGTCCCATGGTTCTGTTCCGGATGGCCAGAGTCGCATACTCACACCGCCAGAGTGTTTAATTTTTCTGCATCGAGTATCTGCATCTGCCACAGTTTGCGTGTGGATACGGCTCAGGGTTTTGGCCCATACGCTTCGTGGAAGATCGAAGCCAGGGATGTTATAAGTCGGGTCTCCCACGAGGAGGCGTTTGCGACTTTTAATGATTCATCAATTTAACGAGAGAAAAGAATGTCTGACTTCTCTCTGTTAAGTCGCATGCCCGCGCATGGAATTTGGCAGTGTTGCCTCTGTAGATTATTTCCGTAGTTATGCAAGGATTTTTTTTTTCTACATAGATTGATCACGGTAATATATTTACTGTACCTTGGTCCGCTGTGTCACATCCGTAACAAGGCGATGCAGTGAGATTACATAAACGTCCGGCGAATTTAAAAATTGTGTTTTACATGGTTCGTGCCATTATTACTGCGCTGCTAATTTCCAGACAGGAACGAGGGCATGAACAAACGATTTCAATTCGCCTTTGGCCATTTAAATGTTCGTGGTGGGGGGGGGGGGGGCATTGGGGGTGCTGCCCTGGTCGATCATAAATTCAATATTGAGCCGCATTATGAATTTATATTTGCACAAAAAGAAAAGATGCTTTTATCTCAAATGTCCGCTAACGGTTATGCGTGCATATTTTATTCACAATGCTTAACTGAAAACGTCATGTGTCGCGAATATAAATTGTCGTATTTGTAATCTGTTGTATGAAATTAACATGATTGCCTGCTCTTAAAAATCACGCTTTAGCGTTCTTGAATGCTCACCATTAAAATAGTCCGTGAAGGTAATTCTCTTCGAGTTGTTTAAAGGCACGAGGTTCAAAGGTGCAACCCTCCAGTTGCCAAGAGGTGGAAATAAAAACTATTTAAAAATAGATATTCTTACTTTACCAGGTTAAGGTCCACTGAGCTACGTAGTTTTATTTTTTCAGAAGCAACGTGGCTATCAGAAATTATAACTCGATGAAGTGGCTTATCATCAGGTGGAAATGTATAATAGCCAAATACTCTAAACACGTTGATTACAAATGTGGAGAAAAATCCATGCGACGACAGGGAAACGGAGAGACACGCAAACTCCAAATACACAGGCGTCAAGTTTGGGATCAAACCCACAACCTCCTGTATATCAGTCGAGGTCGATAACATCTCTCCACCGTGGCGCTTCAATAAAATCCTCATCTGTTCTGGGTGGCCACAGTCGCACACTGCCAGAGGGTTTAATTTTCCATTTGTGCAATGAGTCTCTCCATGTGCTGCTGCCATGGTTTGCGTGTCGATGCCTCGTAGAAGATCGAAGCCAGTGATCTCGTTGCGTCGGGGTCTTTCAAGCGGTGGTGTTTGCGACTGCTAATGGTTGATTAACGGGAGTAGAGAATGTTCGACTTCTCTATCTGTTAAATCGCATGCCCGCGCATGCAATTTGGCAGGATTGGGATCGAACCCACAACCTCCTGTGTACACCAGGTGAGGCGGCAGACCTACTTTCCCCTCGGAACTGTATCCGCCTGCGGTAATCAATAGGCAGGTGGATGTTATGTTTTAGTCGTTTTTTTATATTATCAATTGTTTTTTTGCATCTGCCAGGGTTCTGTTGGTGGCCACGGGCATGTGGCTGCCCAGAGTTCCCCAGTTCATCGGCTCGGAGCTGGTGGAGGGCTACGAAGACGTGTCGGTGAACCCGAGTGACTTCGAGGGTCAGAGCGTGCTGATCCTGGGCCGGGGGAACTCCGCGTTCGAGACGGCCGACAACATCATGGGCTCCACCAACCTCGTGCACATGCTGGGCCGATCCCACCTTCGCCTCTCCTGGGCCACGCACTACGTCGGAGACCTCAGGTCAGCTTCACAAGCCAATGGCCAAGCCTCGACTGCAACCGTGCAGATAACGCTCGATTCTTTTCGTGGGAAGATCATCTGGGAGGGGGGCTTTTTAGGTGTTTTTATTTTTTGGGCTCACGATTTGCAGGCCCCGAGGGTTCCAAACTGCCTAAGCGTAAAAAAACCCACTGGCGACACGTTCTTACTCTTTACCCCTGTGTTGTATCGGTCAACGACGGCAACGACGACTACGGATTGCGGCGCCCCCCCCCCTCCCCCCCACCTTTAACCTCATTCCGTTCCTCTATCACGTGGCCTCACCTCTTCTTCATTGCCCTCTTCCCTCCCCTCGCCCCTCCCTCCCCTATAGCCCTTTTGTGACACCGCCCCCCCTCCCACCACGTGCCCTCTGGTGGGCTCGCTCATTCCCCGGCCCTTGCACTGCCCCTGCCGTCTAAATCCGCCTTTTTCAAACGATGTAAAGTGCCTTGAGGCACGGCGCTCCATAAATCCGAAATAAGACAAATAACCTTAAAGTACCCGTCGACGTTAAACATGCCGTGTGTTTGTTTATATTCTCTCTGCCCCCCCACCCCTGCCCTTCCCCCGCTCCCTTCTCCACTCATCTCCCCCTCCCTTAAGTGATCCCCCAGACACCTTTGCCCGGTCCCGGATCTGAGGGCATCTGGCGTCGGGTTTGTCGCTCGCGAGCGATTTGTGCGCTTGCCTCCCCGGCCTTCGTGTTCTGTATCGGCCTCTTGAGTAAATAAAAAAATAGAATAAAAGTATAACCCGTAAAAACAAAGTTTTTCACTATAAATCCTTTATATGCGTGGTGGCTCTCGTCCTCTCGTCCTCTGGCTTGAGATGGCTGCCACCTATGGGTCAGATGATTGCATTGCACCATTAAGCAATTGGTAATTAAATATAATATTTTTGTCCTAAAAAGTGTAACATTTTGGAAAAAAAAATTCACGAACATTAATTGTCACGCACAACGAGTCTTTGTGGAAAATGTCAGCTCGATTGGATCACGGGAAGTGGGTTAAAAAACGACCGAAAGATTTGCACGGTCCTAAGCAAGCAAGCGAACTTAATATAAAGGATTTAAAAAACCAATGCCGTGGCATATTTGCAAAAGAAGACTAAGGCCCACTGTGTGCTGGCATCATGCTCCCAAGTTTTCCCAAATTGAAAAATTGCCTGCATATTACTTATTGTAAAACACATCGATTGTCCCCCCCCCCCAACCCCTGCTGCAGCGAAAACTTAGCAGGACCCTCCTGCGAATGTCTCCAGTATCAGTGACGCTTTAATGAGTAAACGGATGTAATAATAATAATTATCCGTTTTTTTTTATTTTATCCCAGCCATTCTGCTTCCCCCATTACCCTGGCTAACCAATCGAGAGCCAGCTGTGTTTTGCACATCTGTCAATGAGAGCGCGTTCAGGGTGCCTCGTTGCCAACAAACCTCGATAATTGCGGCGCAAAATGTTTTCCACTCCGGTGTTAAACGCAAGCCCCACGTGGCTCCTTCGCGCGCTGGGAGGTTATTCACAGCTCGCATGATGGCCCATTTATGCCCTCGGTGCTTTAATTGCCGCTATTCTGCAGGGAGTAGTGGATGCCAAGTGTGAATTTCTGCTCGTGATTTCGCTCGGTGGCTCCAAATGTTGGAGTGCGCGGTCGAGTTCCTCGCATTCAGAAGGTTGCGAGTTCAAATCCTGGCAGAGGTTGACCCAGCCTAACATCCCTCGTCGCTCAATAAAATCAGTAATATGAGGAAATCAACATTGGTTGTCCTTTATAGAGAGACTTTTGCGAGGTCAAATCCTTGTAGAGGTTGACCCGGTTATTTAATCATCCCTCGTCGGCCAATAAAATTTGTACCACTTTGTGAGGAAGTCAACAATGATTCTCCTTGGGAGAGATTTTGCTCCTGCCACAGCACTGTGCAATTTCCACCACTGGCGCGGAGCTATAAGCCGGAGATGAGCTCCACCTCATTGCTAATTTGGATCGGTGCGAGGCAGAGCTGGGTCAACATTTCACCCACCAACCAATACAAACTGTGGCCAGGAGTCGAACTTGGATCGGTGGGTTTGTAGCGCAATGCGCTGACCTTTACGCCACAGCTCAACATTATTTTTTTGCCAAAAAAAAAACGCCCTTTAACAATTACTTTGGCCATCCCCCACAAATCGGGCCCCTACTGTCTCCTGCGCCGACATTCCGGCCCTCCGCCCCGCTGTGCCTCCGCAGAGCCATCAACAATGGCCTGCTGGACACGTACCAACTCAAGTCCCTCGACGGTTTGCTGGAGGCGCCCATGGAGGCCATGGCGGTGGTGCGCAATCGGCAGGGGAAGCTGCGCGTTCTGTTGCACGACGCGGACGGGAGGAAGTCGCTGACGAATGGCGGCCACTCGAAAATTATCGACCCCAGCAAGAACAAGGACAACTTCTCCCTCCGCGAGCCGTACGACCGCATCGTCCGCTGCCTGGGCTTTGAATTTGACTTCTCGATTTTTCACAGGTATGCCAAAGTGTTGGCTCGCGTTTTTGCCGTTGTTTTTTATAAACACGAATGGGCACCGTGTTCTCTGGACCATGAGGTGCAATTTTGTCTCTGTGTTTGTTTTACATGCCCAAGTTGGGGGGTGATGCTTCTAACAACTTGCTGTTTGTTTTAGTGCGTGACCAGATTTGTCAAACTTTATTGACAACCGGGCATGTGCGTCTAACTTTTTGGCGCATCTAACTTTTCGGAGCGTCTTATAATGCGGCGAATACGGGTACGTGGTTTCCGTGACGCAAGCGGCGCAATTACATTTCTCCGGTAATACCAAGTGCATTTCATCTCTGGGAAGTTTCGATGCAGTCTCTTGTATGGATCTTCTGACAAAAGCTAATTATCTGTGTCTCGTAGAAGTTGACATCGCACGTCTCGTGCGTCGGTAGAGGTGGTGCTTTTCACAGAAAAGTTATCGGCAGCCAAATTAATTTCTGTGTTTGCAATTTTTTGAAATGGACAGACCTATAATTGGTTTGTGCAGTGTGTGCATTTGGGAATTCGCATCATCGCATAGCGTGGTTGGGGTTCTCGATAAGGGAAATGGATTTGAAAGTAATTTAAAACTCAGTATTAAAACGATTAGCGAAGTAAAATTGTAGTGTTATTTTCGCCGCTTATGCAAAAGCTAGATTGCAAGATAATTAGTCTTTTGGTTACCTGTGAGGTTTTCAAATCATGAAAATGTATTGCCAAAATGTTATTTTGAGAAGCAGTCTCAAAGAGCTTCCACTCTGTTGTGCTGCGAAGGATTTCCCTTTACTGCCAGATAAGTAAATGTGCGTTTTAATACTTGTATTTTCCCTAAGCTAGGAGTGTGTGCGCACATTCTTCCATCAACGCGTATTGCAGTGAATCCACGGCAAAGCAGATTACGTTTTCGAAATATGTCACTTGCCAGTTTTTGTTGTTTCAACCTTTCTCAAAATGTCTTTCAATTTAGCTCGACAAAGACCAAAGCTGGATCAGGTCAGAAGAAAAAATACCCAAAGATAAAGGCAGACTACGAATCGCCCACCACGAGAGGGATGTTTTTCATTGGCACGATCAGCCACTCGGTAGACCACAGAAAGTCAGCCGGCGGCTTTATCCACGGCTTCCGCTACACAGGTGAGTGGACACCGAAGCCGCGGTGGTAATTCAACGAGCGATCATTTTTAGCGCAACTATGGTATTCTCTGTGGATAGCACAATGCCCCCCGTGAATCCCTGCAATCCGAAGTTTTTAATACCCGTTGGAACCTTTTGGCGTCATCTGGTCCAACACCATGTGAGACTAGGCTCTAAGGAAAGCTGTCTCGGGTGTGGACCAATCAACTTCAAGGACAGTGCATACATTATCAGAGTTATGTTTTTTGTTTGCATTATGGCTGCAGGTATTGTGGTCTATGCAAACATGACTCCTCGTAAAAAAAAGGTGTCCGTTTTGTTTCCAGATAAAAGGGTAAAAAAACAATTATCATATTTTTAATTCCCGGCCATAAATTCAACAATAACATTATGATACTCGGCCTATTGGCGGGGAAGCGTTGTCGAGCACCAGCCGCGCTTATGATTTGTTGAGTTTGGGGCGACCCCCGCCCCCCCCGGCTTACCCTCCACTTACCTTCCCCCCTCACTTCCTCCACCATACAAGCCGGGGACTTTCCACCCCCTTTTTTTCCCCTTTTACTTTCTCATACATCCCCCCCCTCCCCCCTCCCCCCTCCTCAGGTTATCTGTCTCTTCCCCCCCCCCCGCCTCATCAACCAGGATGCGTCTGGTACATGGGGCCTGGTGGATATTCGCGTGCGGTTGTCTTATTTTTGTCGCCCAACATTCTGCAGTGGCCCTTTGTTATTGTTTACAACAAAAATCTAATACAAAAATATTTAGACAAAAAAAACAAGAATATAATTATTTCAACTTGTAAATGCGCCGCGCGGCATTCGCGCATTCTCGACAAGAGAGGGGGAACGACTCGGAGGCGCGAGGAACCACAGACAAGCGGGAAGGCACCCAGGCCGGGAGTCGGCGCCAACAATTGTTGCCCAAGCTCTCTGGTCCTCTGTGTATGAAGGCGTTTATAGTCAAGTAATGAGTGTTCGATGCGGGAGGAAACCGGAGCAACGGGGGTTTCCTCGTCGATCGACACGCATTGAGCAATTCTTCTCTCAAGCTCTCTGGCTATCGTCAGAAGTCGCAGTAGTAGTAGTAGTGCGTGGCGAAAGCCTGTTAACGCTTCGACGTCGCAGACCCAAGGCCCAGACAACCACACTTGGAATCGCGAGCGTCCGCGAAAGGCGCGCGCGCACGCGTTGACTTGTTCGTGTGAACGCGTGGGCGAGCTCAGCCAGGGCCGTGTTCCGCTCAATGGAGTGGCGGTACCACGGGGTGCCCTGGCCGTCGCAGACTCTGCCGTCCTCGCTGCTCCTCGCCACGGTCGCGCGGCGGATTAACGAGGCCTCGGGGCCCTACCAGATGTTCAGCGTGCTGGGGGACCTCGCCCTGCTCAAACGGTGAGAGGATCCAGCGTCCTTCACTCTCGGCGTAGACTGAGGGTGGCCACAGTCTCACCGTAGCTGAAGCGTCTGCATCGGCTGTCTGCGCTTAATTGCAAATCAATTTTTCAGTCACCGTGAGTGAGGTGGATCTGCTAGTTGAGGGGTCAGACTGCTGAGAATCCTGGCTTGAATCCAGGCAGTCACGCCCTGTGATTTAACTTGGGTTGTCGAGTGTAGCGGGTTGATCGTCCTAGCCTGGTCACCAATGACTTGGTTGTACACTTCAAATAATGTCCAGCTCTGAGACTTAGATATCCGTTTTGTCGGTGTTGCTCTGCATGACGTCTGAGAGCTCCATTTCGTTCCCGTTCATTCCCCGAAGAAGCTCACCGTAACCGTTGGGCCGCGTGCCATTCGGCACACCCCCAAAATGCACACTGGAGAGCTCCCCGCAGCATCACATCCGTGCAGACAGCCCCCCCCCCCCCCCTCGCGATGCCGCAGCACGGCAGCGTTTGTCGAACGAGGGCTTGGCGCCCCCTTCGCTGTCCTTGTCCAGTGACGGCGCCGAGTTCGAGTATCTGGAGGAGTACCCCATCGCGGCCCTGCCGGCGCTGACCGCGAACACGGGCAAGTCGGCAGAGGGCGGCCTGCTGGTCGTCAACATGGAGTACGGCAAGAACTTCTCGGGACCCGGGGAGGACGTGTTCCGCACGAACCGCGCCGTCGGGGCGCCCCTCGACGCCTGGCGCTCCAACTTCCTCCACCCCGTCGTCTACTATTACGAGCGGCTGCCCACCGGTAGGAGCCACGGCCTGCCTCGGAGGCTCCTGGAGGCCCCCGAGGGCCCATTGTTGTGGGTCCCCCATCGTTTGTGCGAGGACCGGAGGAAAATTGCTACTTTTGCATCCCCCCCACCCACCCCACCCACGCTCATGAAGGTGCAAGACAATTATGCAGGTGCTGTTTTATTCTCATATTCCTGCAGTAGTTTTTTTAGCAGGGGGAAGTCTTGCTGTGTGTAATCCCAATTGAATAATTTTAAAGCAACTTTCCAAATTTGGCGAAAATTTGGAGCAGGGACACCAGTTAATAATGGCCTACTCTTTTTGAATGGTGTCATGGGATATTTAACGTCCACTGCAAAGTGAACAGCACGTTGTATTTTCAAGTTAATACACGTGAAATTTAGATATTAACCAGGGCAGCCTGCCGGACTCGAATCGCGACCCTCTGCAAAAAGCGTGGAATGGGTTACCAAGTTACTTGGTAGAGGCGTGGCCCGGATAAATAAAAAACACACCTCAAAAGCAGAGAATGACTGTGAAAATGTGGAATGTCTCGAGTGTTTTATTATCTCTTCAAGTGATCGTTCTACTTGCCAACCCATTTGCGGTTTATGTGGGCACAAAGTTACGGACTCCCCGACGAGTGAGGAGTATCTAAGACTAAACAAAACAGCATGCACATGAACGCTATTTTTTTCTTCACTTTTATATTTTTTCCTATAAAATGCCACGCTTTTAATCCGCAAGCCCGGCGCAAATCCTCCCACGGATGCTCGAAACTCACCTCCTGCGGGATACTCTCCCGCCTGCCCTCTGCACCCCACTGTCGACAATTCCCTCGGCAGAGTCGGAAATGAGGAGGAGGCCCAAGAAGTGGCCGCTCCCTCGGCCGGACGCCATCCACCACATGGTCGAGGACTTCCTCACCGACTGGAGCGCTCCCAACACTCATCTGCTGCCACTGCGCCGATTCCTGGAGGCCTGCCTGCACAGAGACCTGCGCAGCTACTTTGCGGGTAGATGACGCACGCGCAACCCTAAGGAGTATAATGTTTTGATTTAAAGCTTTCGTGACTGCAGGGATTCATCTTCTTGGTTCTTTCGGTAAAGGCACGTAGAAGGGAAATAATAAAATAATAAAAATAGAACATAATAAAATACAATTATTCATAGCTTTCGTGACTGCAGGGATTCATCTTCTTGGTTCTTTCGGTAAAGTCACGTAGAAGGGAAATAATAAAATAATAAATATATAACATAATAAGATACAATTCTCACGACGTTTCGGCCACAACGCAAGCAGCCGTCCTCAGGTGAAGAACAGGTCTGTCGGAAAGACAGCAAGAAGGAGTATAATGTTTGTTGTTGCTTGTCGTTTTTGTTTTTAACATTGCTGCGAGAAGTAACAAGCTGTAGTGGTTTCAGGGCATGGGCAGAGTTTGTGGAGGAGGGGGGGCACGGGGTGGGGGTTAAGACCCATCCCAAACCTGGGCACCTTTATTAATTCACTAACCTTTTGGCCATCCAAGGACGGGTGTATATTTCAGTAAATCTGAAATATTCAATAGAGAAATTGTTGAACTCATGATTATTAATGAGGGGGGGGGGGGTGCGGTATGTTGAGTGAGCGACCTTCTTGCGCGTTCGTGTAAATTTCCACGCGGGCATGAATATTAATGAAGGGGGTGGGGGGGCTCTTTTGCAGTGACATCACGCACGGATGTAGCACTGTGCTGCGTATATAAATTTTTACCGTCACTTTCTGTAAAGAAAGGTCATATTTGAAGCGACTTTGCGTAATACATGATTTAATTCAGCTCGACCTTCCTCTGCGTAAGTGTAAAAATCCACCGAATCATGAATATTAATTAGATGGGGGCGGGCCTCATGTGGAGTGACGTCACGTGGAGGGGGTGGGCCTCATGTGGAGTGACGTCACGCACGGGACACACATATTCTTGGCTCATTATATAAGTAATTTTCAGTAGTTAAGATAATAACATAATGAATTATATGCACCGGCGATTCCTAATGTGAGGGGACAAAGTTAACCCCCCCGCCCTCCACCCAAGTATAGAAGTCAAACTCCGCCTATGCTGCAGGCGTCACTCACGTGTACCGATTGATACGAACCGCACGAGCAGGGAAAGCGCGGACCAGTGCATTTCGGAATCGACTCCTGTCCGCGGATCGGCCCACCCCTGGTGTTGGTGATTCCGTTGGGCCATTTGTTCGACCACGGCGGACTGCTGTGCGCATCTCGAAGCCCTCAGTCGCTACGTCTCTCTGGGCCTCTCTGTGCCATGTGCCCGCGAAGAAGGGCCCTCTTTGTCGCGTCGTTGACCAGTGCGTCGAGTTGTTTTTGTACTACTTTGCCGCGCGAGAGATCGGAATGGATGATTCTCGTCCCATGACGTCACACCGCGAGCACAATCGTGATGAAAGTTCCACAAAAAAAACACGCAACACGCATTTCTTCGTTTCTGCTTCATTTGTGAGACTTGACATCGTGACAACTCGTACAGTCGGCTGGAGAGAATATGGAAGGGGGTGAAGCGATCCATCCATAACTTTCACTCAACATAGCTTCGGTGCATTCTGCGGCATTTACCTCATTAAGAAAATAAAATTGATTTGCAGTCACCCGCGAAGGGTTCCGCGCTAAGTCTCGAGAATTTGTTGCATCTTCCCGCAGCGTTGCATCCGGCGCCGCCTTGCCAAGATCAGACTGCACGCGAACCTGGATTCCGTTTGGCGCGTATAATGTTGCGTCAGAACCTGTTTTGACGATCAGGGATGCACGCATCGGTTGACAGCTCGCTTTGCCAAACCCAAAATGAGGGGGGTGCGCACATCACGGTCGACACTGTACGATTCGGTGTGCAACGGCCTTAACGCTGGAACGGCAAACGTCAACGGGACGATGTGAGCTCTCGGACGTGGTTTCGGGTTTGCACCGCATGTTGCTTAGCGCGATTGTCCGACGTTTCGCTCCGTGTGGCTGGAAGCTTTTTCAGGGGTCGGAATGACGCATGAAGGTATGTACGTTGAACTTCTTTCTCACCGTACATAGCCAACCGTGCCAATCGGAGGTTGCTAGGTGGAAAGACAACAAACTAAACACGAAAAGCAGTTCTGAAGAAATGTGTTTTTACATTTAGAATTAAAAGCATATGGCTCCAGTGGCTTCCTAATGATGACAAAGCAAAAGTCGCGGCAACGTGGAGCGAAACAACAATCACGACGAACATCGAACGACACGACCTATGAACCAGAGGTCGCAAACGGGTTTTGATTCCTTACCCGTACCCAGCCGCACCAGGGTCGCAAACGGGTACCCGTACCCTACCCGATACCCGGCCGGATACGGGTAGCCGGGTATCGGGTAGGGTACGGGTATCGGGTACCCGATTGTGACCTCTGGGATGAAGCCATGTTGCAGGCACGGGTGGGTTGATTCTAGGAACTTTAATTGTGAGAAGAGACAAAACGTTGTGAAATGAGTGACAAACGGTTATTGACCAGTGACTCACGGCCTACCCGTACCCGGCCGCACCAGGGTCGCAAACGGGTATCGGGTAGGGTACGGGTATCGGGTACCCGATTGCGACCTCTGCTATGAACACACATCCGGAGGGCAATACGGTACAACCACGACATACCTACGCAGTCGTATTCCAACTCGCGTTGTTATTAACAACAACACGCAACTAGAGTTTGCTCAGCACGGGACACAGTACGGAGTGAGAATAATGGCGCCATTGCACCACCGCAATTAGAGCATAGACCATCACTAGAACTCCGGTCACACTCCGCGCGGCCATCGGACAAAGACGGTCGCTGCATCGCGCTGCTATCAGATGCGCTTCTGCGATCCTATGGAATGCTCTTCCTTACGATATTCAGAAGCCACTGGAGCTATACACTATTAAATAATCTTGATTGAAACCCCATTTCTTTATAACTGCTTGTTGTGTTTAGTTTGCTGTCCTGCCCCCCCGCACGTCCCATTAGCACAGTTGTCAACGTATGGTACAAAAGAAGTTCTACATTTGGCACGTGATGATATTGCTGGCGGTGCGTGGCGCTATTGCTGCGGTGCGTGACGCGATTGCGGTGGTGCCGTGTGCAGAGTCGTGCTTCAAGATGGCCTTGACGAGTCAGCAGTCGCCGCTCTCCTGCCAGCAGGGCTACTCGGAGGGGCGCTCGCTGACCACCGACGGCCTCGTGTAGCACTGCCGCCGCTCCACAGACATCTGGCAGTTTGTTTGTACCCACAGCTGGGGGGCCATGCCATTGCGAGCACTTGGAACGGCTGAATTTTTTTGGCAGGAGCGCTACATCACGGCCGCTTGCAGGACGGGGTTCATCGGAGCCAAAACAAAAAGAAACGTGGCGCAACGTTGCATTGGGTGACATCGCCGTCGGCGGCGCAAAGACATTTTAAAATAGTTACACGATGGAAATAATTGGTGAATGTGATTTTTTTTTTTTTTTTACGATTTCCCTTCTAAATCTGAAACGTTAAAACTCGCCAAACTCATTCTTCGTCTACAACCGTTATTTCCAAGCGGTACAATCTGTGCGCGGGTGTCCCTTGCATCACGGACGCAGTGGGATTCTCCTTCTCTCGACACGTATATATATTTTTTTATCTGCCGATGATCAAATAATCTTGAAGCCTTTTCGGGTTTGACCCTGCTTACCACTCGAATGGGGTAACCGCCGGTACAGTACGGGACGCACGCCAGGCATTGCGGAAGGCAATCACCGAGGCAGCGGGCTGCACGGTGGCCGGTGAGATGGCAGTACAGCGATGGGGGCTCGGCACGCATAGGGGCCGAATGCATTTCGTCTGCGAGTGGATTTTGTAAAAAAAAGAAAAATGTCCAACTCTGAATCTCGGCACTCGTATGCGTGGTTGGTTTTCCTCCGGGTACTGCTCCGGCGTCGTCCCACGTCGTCGCTTTAAGATGTTCTGTGTTCATATTTTGTTTGTTGCAGGTTGCACCCGACTTAAGAGCCGCATGGCTCACAGGGCTATACCTAATAAATGAACTTGAACGTGAAGGCCAATCACTCATGAGTGGAATTGGCCCAAACGTACCAATGCAGGACCCTCCTGAAAAAGGGTCTTGAGGCTTTTCCGGGTAAATTATTGTGATTTTTATTGTTGTAACGAATCGAAGGCCTATATTTACTGTGTGTCGACTGATTTTCTGGAGTCTCTGTTAGCTCATTTTTGATACTCATTTATTTATATAATTATATAAACGTTACTATATATTAAAGTCTTGTTTGTATATACGTTACCTATCTGTGTATAAATCTGCTTTCATCTATACGTTGTTGTTTTTTATTGCGTATTCTCTAACAACCCGATCATGGGTATGCCAAGCTGAGAGATGCAATTGTATTCCGATGCCGTCTGAAAATCAAATTGTGTGCACGCGATAATAAACTTTGCCTGCGTGCCTGAGATGTATTATTTCTGCCTTCAAACTTCTCGCCACATCAACGGTGAACTAAGTACATTACCCTGTACTGTCGCGCAATAATAATGTGACTGAATCCACACGTTGAAATTTACATGAGGCCAACATTAATTTTCTCATCTTTCAAGACGTTGTCTGTGTCAAAGGTGTATTCACGCGGACGTCGCTCAAAACTCAGCTCATAGATTGAGGGAAGGCGTCCAGCAAGAAGCCAGGTTTTTTATGGTTTACGGAAGCGAGCAGAGATTAGTCTGAGTCCATATTCTTAGGTTTTTTCGGTAAAGTCACGAAGTAAAAAAATTAAATTAATAATACTTTTATTAATTTTAATTTTTTACCTACGTGACTTTACCGAAAATACCTAAGAATATGAATCCTTGCAGTCACGAAAGCTTCAAATCTAGAATTAGTCTGAGTGTAAACAATATTTGAGGCAAGAGTGTATCTATTACTGTAGGAATCGGACAGCTGTTTTGAAACGAATGGAAACGAATGCTGAAATTGTGTGGCAAGCCAGGATGTGCGCGCAGCAGAAGGTCTGGTAGAGACCACGGCAGGCAGGGAAGTGTCGTAGGTATGATCGGCTAAAAAAGAGTTTAGCCGGGTGGGATGTTTGCAGAATGGGAGAATGGCCATTTTCCGAGACAGACATTGGAATGGTCTTCACGAGTCCGTTGACCAACGGGGGGAAGTCGACCTAACCCCAGGTGGTGGTGGTGGTGGCGGTGGGACACTGTGGGGGCAAATCTCGGAGGTCCACACGTCCAATCGGCATCATCTACGGCATCTAGCGCAGAGGGTGCAACGCATTGGCGAGCCGGAGGTTTGCACCGATGGCTTTGGCCACGATGATCATGTCTTATGTCTCAATCAACTACGACTAGTTGAAGGCCCTCCCCCCCCCCCCTCTCTCGCCGTGTCGGCCACTGGGGGTTCTTTGACCATACTTCGCCACGCTGCTCGGGACGGGGCGCACAGCACCGATAGGTAGAAATTCAGTCACTGCCTGGCCGCAGTGGTTCTTAATCCCAGTAAACATTGAACGTTGGCGTGTGTACTTGGTTCTCCGCGTTTGCGATGTAACTTCAGTTTTTTTAAGTTTCATTTATTTGGTATAGCCCCGTGAGCCATTCGGCTCTTGAATCGGGTGCAACTGCAACAACAAATAAACAAAAGAAAACATGAACAAGAAAGCATCTTCATGTGACTATGTGCAAACAGAAAATCCAAGAAAATAAATGATGATGAAGCACCCGCTCCAATATCGCTCACTCCTGCCGTTAGCCCACGACCGGGCTTTGACATTCAGGCCCGCTGGTTTCGTTCGCACATTTTTTTTAAATGATCCCACGGGAATTCTTTAGACTACTGTACAAGTCTAGCGTCGTTTTGTTGACCGGTAACGTTATAAAAAACCACGGTGGCGACGCGCTCTTTTCAGAAGCATGCGCATGCACGTGCGCACGCGCGCGCACGTGCGGACACAAAGAAATCGCGGACTGAAAAACGCAGAAGGTGGCACTCAACTCCGGCCTTTGTTCAGCGTTGCGTCTCGCGCCCGTTTTTTTTAATCCTTTATATTAAGTTCGCTTGCTTGCTTACAACCGTGTAAATCTTTCGGTCGTTTTTTAACCCACTTCCCGTGATCCAATCGAGCTGACATTTTCCACACAGACTCGTTGTGCGTGACAATTAATGTTCGTGAATTTTTTTTCTCCAAAATTTTACACTTTTTAGGACAAAAATATTATATTTAATTACCAATTGCTTAATGATGCAATGCAATTATCTGACCCATAGGTGGCAGCCATCTCAAGCCAGAGGACGAGAAGACTCTAGCCGCCACGCATATAAAGGATTTATAGTGAAAAACTTTGTTTTTACGGGTTATACTTGTTTGTGTGTTCACCCCATTCGTGTTCAACCGCATGCCGACGAGCCCTCTCTGAACGGCCGTCTCGAAGCGCGTCTCTCGCTGCCTCTCTCGCCCCGCTCGCCCGCCCACCCTCCCACGTCTGGTGTTGGGGGAAGGAACCCTGCGATCAGATGCCGACTCGCCTTTCTCAACTTGGCGGCGTCGATCTGTCGTCGCCTGTAGCCCTGTACACATCACCAGAACAACGAGCTCGATCTTGTGGTGATTGATATCCACTGGAAAATTTATCCTCATGGCGGTACCCCGGGGTTCCAAAAAATACAGAATGGGCGAGGCAATTAAATATATTTTTTCTGGGACGCTATTTTGTTCCCAGGGGTGTTACTTAACTCCGCGACTGGGGTAACCAATCAATCCGAAATCGGTGCCACACTCCGCGATGTCGAAACGCAGCGAGGGCGAGTGCGTCGGAACCCTGAGCGCACGTGGCACCGTGGTGGTGCATCGTGTACAGCTCGTCGAGATGAGTCGATTGCCGCATCGCCGACCATCAACAGACTAAATTACCGCATCACGGACATTGTGCGAGAGTTCAAGTTCATGTATTAGGTATAGAGCCCTGTGAGCCATTCGGCTCTTGAATCGGGTGCAACCGCAACAAACAAAAACATGAACAAAAAACATCTTAAAGTGAATATGTGACTAAGTGCAAACAGAAAATCCAAGAAAAGACAGCAAAATATTGCAAAAAAAAAACACCATACACCAACGCTGTTTGCAAAAATCCCAGTGGGATGCAAGTCAAACAACCAACAACGACCACAAGACAACTTAGATTAAGGCCATCAGTCTAACTCTGTACTACAACAAACAAGCATGGCTAAACCAATACACTTTTCGAAATCACCAAAAAAAAGCTATGACAGCAATGAATAAGCAATCATAGGAACTGTGACAGCCGAGGTACTATGGGATGGCAGGGTAACGCCGTAAGGTTCAAATGCCGGACGTAACAGCGAAGGCACATGTCCAAGAATGACACAAAGGGACCTTCCATAAATGACATCACGCTATTTTGGACGATTTTTGACCCCCCCCCCCCCCTTCGTCACACGACGTCACAAAAATTCAGACCCCCCCTCAAATATGACGTCACAAAGCTCTGCCCCCCCCCCCCCCCACAAAAATAAAACATGCTTCAAATCGCTTTAAACTATTGTCATTGTAGTGCGTATTTAATGTGGCGCTGCACTCTGATGTTGGAGAAAACATTTATTAAAAAGTCTTTAATTAAGTAGAACGCGTTGTCTATATTTATTTAAAGTTGCGCATTTCTATGTGACGTCACATTTATCACCCCCCCCCCCTTCGTCACACATCGTCACAAATGTCTGACCCTCCCCCCTCTCCCTCCAGGTGCGTGACGTCATTTATGGACGGCCCCAAATACTCTCTAGTTATTTCGGTATAGTCATGTAGATAGAAAAAATAATTAAAAATAAGATAAAACACGACGTTTCGGTTCTAGATTTGAAGCTTTCGTGACTGCAAGGATTCATATTCTTAGGTTTTTTTCGGTAAAGGCACGTAGGTAAAAAATTTTAAATTAATAAAAGTAAAATAAAAAATAAAAATCACGACGTTTCGGAGGCATCAGCTATCGTGCTGTGACGTATCAGCTAGCGTGCTGTGTCGTGATTTTTATTTTGTATTTTTTTTTATTTTACTTTAATTAATTTTTTTTTACCTACGTGACTTTACCGAAAATACCTAAGAATACGACGTTTCGGTCGCAACACAAGCGTCCGAAACGTCGTGTTTTCTTTTACTTCATTATTTTTTCTATCTACGTGACTTTACCGAAAGCTTCAAATGAAGAATGACACAAATGTTGGTACCAGGCGCGGGTTCATCCACGAGGGGCGTTGGGGCGCCTCCCCACCAAGCAGCTGGAGATGAGAGATTATTTTTCTAAGGGGCCGTCCATAAATGACGTCACGCACCTAGGGGGGGGGAGGGGGGTCAGATATTTGTAACGAGGGGGGGGGGGGTTTAAAAATGTGACGTCACATCAAAATGCGCAACTTTAAATAAATATGGACAACACGTTCTACTTAATTAAATAGACTTTTTAATAATTTTTTTCTTCTACAACATCAGAGTGCAGCGTCACATTACATACGCACTACAATGACAATAGTTTAAAGCGATTTGAAGCATGTTTTATTTTGGGGGAGGGGGGCAGAGCTTTGTGACGTCATATTTGAGGGGGGTCTGACTTTTTGTGACGCCGTGTGACGAAGGAGGGGGGGGGGTCAAAAATCGTCCAAAATCGCGTGACGTCATTTATGGACGGCCCCTAAGAAATATATACATAATGATTCACTCAACGTGAATTGCCTAATGAAGATAACTTTTTAAGTTGTTCGTATTAGAAACCGCCGCAACTCCCCTGTCTGATTTGTGCCTGGGGGGAGGTCTTCTCGGGGGGTGGCTGTGAAGGTGTCCGAGTGAGAGGTTTTCCCTTCGGTCATTGCGATGAGCTTCTCGCATTTTTAAATCCTTTATATTAAGTTCGCTTGCTTGCTTAGGACCGTGCAAATCTTTCGGTCGTTTTTTAACCCACTTCCCGTGATCCAATCGAGCTGACATTTTGCACACAGACTCGTTGTGCGAGACAATTAATGTTCGTGAAAAAATTTTCCCAAAATGTTACACTGTTTAGGGAAAACAAATTAAATATTTAATTACCAATTGCTTAATACTGGCCGACAATTATCTGACCCATAGGTGGCAGCCATCTCAAGCCAGAGGACGAGAGGACTCTAGCCGCCACGCATATAAAGGATTTATAGTGAAAAACTTTGTTTTTACGGGTATACTTGTTTTATTATCCACGCCGTTCGAGACCCATTCAGGGCGGTGAAAAAGGGGCCCACGGCTGTGATGAGAGACAATGTCACAACGCTAAGTTGCACTGTGCACATATAGCAGCTCACGGCTTTTCGGCGGTGTCCAAGGGGTTGTGCGCTGTGGACTTGAGGGTCATGGGGACAGCATTTGCGTACTTTGTTGTTCTTTTGTCGTATTGTTTCTAAATGCCTACACTCGGTAGATAAGACAGTTACATCACTTTCACGGGAAGGCCATTATAACATGACGAGGATTTTCTTAATTACAACCCTATCTTTTCAGAGGTCAC